TGTACATTGGCTCTACTATCTCAGCCATCAGTTTTACATCTCCAAACAAAATTCTGTAATTCTTCACATTATAGTTGAAGCCTCCCACATTTTTGGCAGAATAATTAATAGGCTAAGTAATTTTTCTTTGCAGAATACCTTAGCTCTCTTCATATCAGATTCTAATTATCATTGTTTTTTTGGTTTTTTTTTTCCTTTTTTGTCTTTTTTCGTGTCCGGCAACGGACCGCAACCCTCAGTGTCGCGCCCGTACTGGACCGGGACCGGCAACGGTGATTGCAACCCTCGGTGTTGCGCCTGCACCTCGCTCAGCCAGTGAGCGGGAACCGGTCTGTATGTGGGATCCGAACCCTCGGCGGGAGCGCCACCTCGCTCCCAAGCGGCACACTGTAGCAGTGCGCCACCGGGCCGGCCCCTATCATTCTGTTTTTTAAGTGGAACTCATTTCATGCAGATTCCAAGGGAGCTGAAGGTGGGTAGTAGAGAGGCAGGAGCCCGAGCGGCCCAGCACACGCCTTCTCCTTCTTTCCCCCTTCCAGCCACTCCCTGTCTGGGCCTGCTTTGGCTGCTTCCTAATTTTCAAAAGAAGGATGTTGGATTAAATGATACGGTGGGACCTCCTTAGTCCTAATAGCCTATGGCTTAATGGTGGCTGACACTTGGCATTGTAAGGTTGATTTTAGAAATGGAAGAGGAGAAACCAAGGCAATTCTTTTTTTTTTTCTTTCCCTTTTTGTCTTTTTTCATGACCGGTAATGGGATCGCAACCCTTGGTGTCACGCCCACACCGCGACTGGCAACGGGATCGCAACCCTTGGTGTCGCGCCCGCACTGCGCTCAACCAGTGAGCGGACCGGTCTCTATATGGGATCCGAACCCTGGGCGGGAGCGCCGCCGCACTCTCAAGCGCTGCACTCTACTGAGTGCGCCACCGGGCCAGCCCCAAGGCAATTCTTTTAAATGCATAAAGGGGATTAGCTGAAATTGCATTTAGATTATTAACAAATTTTCATTAATGATTAGGCATTAGATTTTTCCAGGAAGTGTATTTGTAAGAGTAAAGAAATTTTACTTCTGTGATGTGTGGCAAGGAAATGTCCCATAGCAACTTAAGTGAAATTTTGTTTGTCCCTCACATCGCAAACACTATCATTTACTCCTCATTCCCCATTTTATCTGGAGATTTTTAATGCCAATGGTAGTGATTTTGCTGATTTAGATGGCTTATTTTTTAAAGACACTGATTATTGTACATTTTCTAAGTCATTATGCACTATCCCTGTAGCCAATTAAAAATCCTCTTCAACTATCATAGATTGGATCAAAGGAGATCACTATTATTCTTCTCCCAGGAAAGATGAGATTTATGATCCACATCAGTTTATTGCCTATTTTCCCTATCAAAGCAAAATATGACTGTTAGTTTACTCAATTATGTAGGAACTCTGAAAACTCCAGAGATTTTGTTATTAGTAACCAAAAATACTGCAGTTTTACAAATGATTAAAGCAATCTGTTAGGAATGAGTTGGCATATTGCTTACACCACTGCATACAACAAAATACCTAAAGCATTTTTAAATTTCAGAGCTGATAAATTGCCTCAGTGGTTTCAAATGTATTTTGAATGACATTTAAATTTGGGTAACTTTGTCAGTCTTTTTTGGTGATACACCACTGTGAGAGATTTTACTTATCTTATTATTCCCCCCTGTGTTAGTGTCTTAGTCCTGCTCCAACTAGCTTAGGGAAAAGGAATAATTGATTTTAAGGACACCAGGGTATCTCAGAAACCTCATGCGTGATTGGAAGTAGGTGCTAGAAGCCATTAGGAACAAAGGCAGCACCTGCCTTCTCATCATCCCCCTCCCCCATGTTTCTCTGCATGGTGGCTGTGTTGAGGGTCCTCAAGACCACCCCCAGGTTTGGTGATTCAGTAGGGGGAATCGTAGGACTCAAAATATAGTCACTCTCAAGTCTATGACATTACAATGAAAAGGCATGAAGTAAAAACAGTGTGAGGAAGAGGTGCATGAGTGAGGTCCACAGGAAACCAGGTGCAAGCCTCTAAGAGTCCTCTCCCAGTGGAGCCACACAGTTCGCACTTCATTCCCTCAGTGATGAATGGGTACTGAAAACACGTGTGAAATGTTCCCAGCCGAGGAAGCTTGTCGGTAGCGATCCTAGCGCCCTGGTTTTTCTTGAGGACTGACTGCTCGTGGAGGAAGCCCCTGCCTGGTATGTAACAAAATTGAAGAGTCCCAGGAGGAAAGCAGGTATTCAGCAGAGGCTATAGTTTCTACAGACAGTTAGGCACAATGAGCCACTCTTACCGATTAGGGAGTGATGGGAACCCAAAATCCCAGTTCTCAGGTGCCAGCCAAGGGCCTGCCTTTTCAGAGGTGGCAGTCAGATGTGCTGCATTAATTCTTTCCTGCACAGCAGGAGATGTGCCCCACCCTACCCCACCCCATGCCTGAGTTTATATACCTTCAATTAAGGCACTAGCAATGGTGAACTAGCATCTCAAGTATGTCCCACGCAACTCCACATTCCTGGAGAGAGCATTAGACCAGCTAGGGTTGGGTATCCTTCCTGATCCAGGCAGTATGGTCAGAGAAATGGATCACCTAGTCCAAACGTGGGTATTAAATTCTTCCTGTCTATGTAGGGACAGGTGGTTAGTTTGCGGGCTCAGAGGACACTCCAAAAGGAAGTCAGTCATAGGGATGTGTGGAAAATTCACTCAGGCACTGTGCAGAGTTTATTTTGCAAAGGCCCTCTTAGAAACAGCATTACAAAATAATATAGGAAAGTGACACCTGATTCAGGCTGCTTGAGCCTCAGGTTTCAGATCAGATTCAGCAGACCCAGTTACTCTGAAGGAGATAGGGTAGTGTGTAGGTGTTCAATTGTATAAGAGCAGTGAACGCCTAAGAGATTCTGTAATAGATTCAGATATCTTATCCTTAGGTGTTTTGTAATAGTCTTAGTGAACTTTTTTTTTTTTACCATTCTAATTGGAACAAGTTGAGGCTCATGGAAATTACTTGATTTGTCCCTGGGATTGATCCTTATGGGTGATGTACAAGAATAGCATACACTTTTACTATATTCCTATTTGTCTACTGTGGTTTTGTTTTTGTTTGTTATAAAGCTTTCTTGGTAAAACATTCAGTCAAAACTCTTGAAGGTTCTGTATTTCAGCCCTATGTTTGAATAATTCTTAATCTCCTCATTAGTACCCATATAAGAAGCTCTAATATTTCTTGATGAATGGATATCTTTTATCTACTGGAGACACACAGCCTGATGTAGGGTGTTGAGGTGACTGTGGAGGTGGTTCTCATAATTGGGAGACACACAGTCTCTCTTGCACAAACCTATAGCTGTGATGCTCTGAGAAGAGCTAAGTGCCACCTACAGAATTTACTAGAAACTCTGTCAGGTCTATGGCCCATGTAGAAAGTGTTCCCAGATCCCTTCAGCTGATCCCTTCCGGCCACACCCCTATTTTTCCTGGTTATGGTTCATATGTAGATGCTAATTTGGAGTTAGGCCAGAAGTAACCACACTCCCTCCACACCGTGCAGAGCAGTCTGCACACTTGCGTTCTTTGTGTGCGGGGCTGGCCTCTGGCATGGCCAGGTGCCCAGCACTCTGTGTGTGGCACTCACCTCCTTGTCTTGTGACAGGAGCAGGCTAATGGCCTGCACATGAATCCATCCGTTGGCTTGGTGTAGGCACCTTCCATCTGTCAGTCTCTCTCTCTAACGCTCCCAACAGTGTCCTCAGATTAGTTTTTGCTTTTGTATCTCTATTATCTTTGAGATATTAAGGGGGACATCAGTCATGCCAGAGAGGATAGGACTTCTAAGGAAAAGAGAAATGTTTCCTTGTGAATCTAAGAACGGCATATGAAGGACAGGGAAACAATTCCTAAGCTCCTCCAACAGATCAGCCAGAGGGGTTTTGAAAACTATAGTGAGTCTGCTTTGGGGCATGGCCTTCAGGGAAGAAACTCTCATCAGATGGTAAGCTGGATTTGCACACTCTCGTTTTAGGATAACCTGAGGTAGCATTATTGACTCGCCGGGACCTAAAAAGTCATCTCCTTGGAAGAAACCTATTCTTTATATCCTCGACATAACTACTGAATAAATATGTTGACAGATTAGTAAGCACCCACAAAAGCGAGTCCTTAGGAAAGAAAATACAAAATTCAATGGTATTAGGTTATTGCAAGCTCCTCTGGGTTCCCTGTCATCATCTACATCTCCAGGACTGAGGACCCCTGCTCTGAGAAACACCAAGGTCTGGGGGCACTGGAGGCTGAGGCAGCCAGTGCGGGCCACGCTGTGCAGAAGCAGTGTGAGAAGCGGTTTTAGACAGACAGCAATATTTATCATTGTGAGTTGTAGCAGCCTCACTGAGAGAGAGGGAGAGAGGGCGCTGCAAGATGCTCGAGGGGGCCTTCAGACAAAAGCCTAGTCTTCCTCACCACCACCCAGTGTGGAGAGTGATTGGTTTCTGAGATGAGTAACACTTCTGATGCACATCTGCCCTGTGTCTTAATGCTGTTATGGATATGGTGGTGGTTATTTATATTCCACCCATATAGTATGGACCTTTATGGGTCTAGTTGGGTTAGAAATGAATTTATTTGTTAATCACCTTAAACTAACAGATACATACAAGTTTTATGAGATTTACTAATTAATATTTTATTCAGCTAATGGAAATTGATTGCCCCCTAATTGATTTCAGCTGCAGTTATTTTGTTAGGGTGCTGTTGTTTAAGTGGATGTATATGTCCTTCTGTTAGCCAAGTTCAGATCTGCATTTGTGCAGGTCCCATATCCCTATTTCTGGTAATTGAGCAACTGGATGCTTTGGTTGGTGGAAGGATGGGACCACGACACAGAGGCCCAGTCCTCAGCCACCTGCGAGGTGTTGGCATGCAGGTGTGTAACATTTCTGTTGCATCTTTTGTTTTCACAGTGAGAGAAAAACGCAAGAGTCTCTTCATTAACCATGTAAGTGAAGCTGTCTCCCTGTGTGTTTCATAATGACTGTACAGTGTAAAGAGTGGAATAACTGTGTCTGTGGTGGGTGGAAATGGTTCATGTATTTTATCGATACTTAGAAGAATGTTGCAATGTACTTAAACTCAGTTTGGTTTGTAATTGGACAAGCACCACTCAGTATTTATCCACTGTCCTAAATGTTTTTTCAGAAGCCCTAGACTACTGTTGTTCATGGGAAGACGTGCATGAACAGTGCCTTAGCAAACACCACACAGGTCCAAATGAAAGCCACTTTTTAATTTCTGATTCTTTTCTTCCTTTACCCCCCCACCCAAATTCCTTTGTTTCTTGTAGCTCAGTTCCATTTGAATAAACTCATAATTGTTTTCCAGAGGCTTTCTGCCTCCACACTCTCTTTCCTCTTCCCAGTTGTGGTTTGTAGGTCCAGTAGAGTCTGCACATTCTTTTGGTGCTCAAAGAAAGAGGATAAACTTGATAACGCTTTAATTTTTAAAGGATTCTCAAAAATCTAGCCCTAATATTGCGGCCATTCTGAGAAGTATGTCCCTCCCCTGGTGGCCAGGTATAAGGTGTCCATCCAGCTACTTCAGCCTTTTTTCCTGAGCAGCCAGGTGCAGCTGGCTGGCTCCAGCCCCCCACCCCCACCCTATGGTAAGCCTTGCCTGCAGACAAGTCATAGCCACCCTTTCTTCTCCTTATAAATATATACCCCTTTCTTTAGGAGAGAAAACTATCTCCAAGAGGTATGGAATAATGAAGTAGGTATATTATGAAAATAAGTGTGCTATATATAAATCCTTGTACTAGAAACAAGAATGATGTATTTGACCTTACAAAGGTCTTTCTCAGGATTTTTAGACTGTCTGCATTTAAGTATTTGCAGATCTTGAAGTACTTGGCACTAAAGCTGTTTTTAAAAGAAAAGCCATAATATTGTATTCCCTGCCCTTTGAAAATCTGGACAAAATGCAATTGAAAAGAAATTTGTAAGTTGGGCTGATGCACTTAAGGGGCTGCATGCTCTACCCTTAGGAGACTGTTTATTGCTTTGTAGTCAGTGTTGGTATATATGTGCATATACAGGTTTCTAGGAGTCAAAGTTTTTATCAGGTTCTTAAAGCAATTTGTGACCTCTTCCCTGGCCCCCTTAAATTTTGAAGCATCAGTGTATATAGCATCGGTGAAATTACAATATATGTCATGGGGAAAATATGATGAAAATTGCCATGTTTTCTTTTTTCTGAAAGCAGTATATACCTGGATATAGAAATTTGAGTGATTAGAACTAATTCTCTAAATGCTTGTTTGCATTTTGTCCTGCTGGTTGCACCTGAATGCTTTCCCACTCATTATCACATCTGCCGAGGAGCTTGCAAGGGAAAGAGTACAGCTGAAACTGTTCATTGCAGCTCTTTAAAGATGTATTGAAGAAAGAGGAGGCTAAGAGTTTGATTGTCCATGTCACTCTGATCTTGGCTCATGAGACAGAGGTGTGCTCTCACAGTTTTAACCTGCACATCTATTTTTATATGCTCTCCCACTTACCCTCACATTTTGTGTCCTGCACAGTCCTGGCACCTGCCACACACAAGGTAAATATCTGCTGGACCCAGCATAGGGATTCAGATGGTAGGCTGAGCATTGTAACTTAAGGTATCCTTTGTAAACTAGCCCAGCCTTCAAACCTCTGTAAAACCTCTTATCTATTGACAAAATAAGTGAAATCACACAGTTGTTAAGATCTGCTCAAATGCACTTGTTCCTATTTAAAAAAGAAATTTCTGTTCTAAGTGTCTTATGTAACAGTTGACCCCATAACAGCATGACCCTCCAATCTGTGAAGAGACCTAACTGCAAATGACCATATCAGTTCTGCCATGTAGGGAAAAGCCATTGGAGTGTGCCATTCCAACCCACTGAAATATAATTTGAGTGAAATTACCTGCAGATTCAATGAGTCTAATAAACCAACTATGCTTTTCATGTTTTGAGACTTGGGCGTAATAAGTTAGCACAGCAGAGAAAGGATAAGGAATAATAATAATCAGTATCGTCTATTGAGTGCTGTACTGTGTGTGTGTGCCAGGCTCTGTTCTAATTGGTTTAGTATACTTACTCATGTAGTTAGCACAGTAACCATGCTGGCTAGGTACTATGTATCATTCCCATTTTACAGACAAGGATCGTCTATTGAGTGCTGTACTGTGTGTGTGTGCCAGGCTCTGTTCTAATTGGTTTAGTATACTTACTCATTTAGTTAGCACAGTAACCATGCTGGCTAGGTACTATGTATCATTCCCATTTTACAGACAAGGAAACCGAGGCACAAAGAAGCTAGCTAAGTAAACAGTGGATCCAGGATTGGGACCCAGAGGGTCTGGCTCCAGACTCCTCAGCCCCCTTAGCTTGCATCCTATATGCTCCTCAGATTGCAACACCAATTCCCACTGGGACAGAGGATGTTTAGCTTGCTTGTCTGAATTTAACATTTATAATTAAATTTTTATAGGATGGTCTGTAGGACTCATTTCTGAATATGTATCCCGACTAAAATTAATAATTTCATTTGTTGTTGAACTCTGGAATGACAATTATTCTTAGCCTTTGTTTGTAAAACCATTCCATTTTGTATTTGCTTTATTGTAAGGGATATTGTTTCTTTAATTTCTCCTTCAAGTTTCTGAAAAACCTTCATACATGTTGCTAAGATAATCTACAAAGAGGCTCTAATTTAAGAAAAACGAAAGCAGTGGATATAGACAAGCCATTTAAGTGAGAAAAGAGGGTGGTTCAACTCTCCTCCTACGGTGGTGGTGGTAACTACAGGGAAAATAACGTCCTCCAAATGGAGAAAAATGAGGTGTTTTTGGCTCCCAGCAAACAACACACATTAGCAAGTAAAAAAGAGTAGACTTTGGCCCAGAACATTCTTCAGGAAAAGGAGCAGTAGTGAATAGAACCGCAGGCTGGAAAAAGAGATGAGCCTTTAACTGCTCAGGAGAGCCAGGAGACTTAAAGGATTAGGTAAAAGGAGGCTGCTTGTAAAAGAATTATTATAGGTTTTAAAGCTTGAAACCATTTGAGGATAAACCACTCTGGGAGTTTTGACAGCAAGTTAAATCAGAGTGAATTATCGAGATTAATATTCTAATCAGCACCTATGTTTTAGATGTAATTAACAGTTACAGGAAACTTTAATACATTATGAAAGAAAGATACATAGGTATTTTTAAAAGGCTTATGAAAAAGGCTTTGTTTAAAGTTTGTACTTTATTTAAAATTTGGTGAAGTTTTGGCTTCGTTTTTTAAAAAAGGTTAGCTATTTTAATGAATATTTTAATTAGACTGTGAAAATCTGATTATAAATTGTGGGTGGTATTGGAGTTGTCTGGAGTCCAGAATTACTCCTGAAACTTCGTGAAAACTCATTCCTTTTACCTTGGCCTAATTTCCTTATATGACATTCCCTGCCACCTGGTGACAGCATACCTGAACTGAATTAATCTAAGAAGTTTTAAAAAAAAGATATTAAAACTGAATGAGTTAGGAGTTGAATGGCCAACAACTTCCCTTATGCCTCATTTGCCATAGATGCACTTTGAAATGAGAAAGCCAAACTGGGGATGTTGTGTCATCCTCACGCAAAAAAAATCAAAGTATTTGTCTCAACATTGAGACAGGTGATAGTTCTACAAACTTTGTGAGGAAATAATGCAATTAGGGAATATTATTTATCGGTTAAGCAAGAGTCACATTGTTAGCTGGACTTGGAGCCAAAAGAATTTTGTTCAAGACCTAGTTCTACTACCTGCTAATTGGGTGACCTTGAAAAAGTCTTGAAGTTTCAGTTCTCTCATCTCTGAAGATGGGTCATAATTCTAGGCCTCTTTGATTCAAATGAGGTAATGAGCAGAAGGTGATTTGTGAACAAATTATACCACCATATAAATATGTTGGTATTATTATTATTGCCCATTGGAGTTTTAGATATATTTGATTTAATCTTCCAAGTTCAATATCAAAACTGATAAAAGTCTTTTTGGTGTTTTGAGTAAGGATATAGTTTTTTCATAATTATTAAGACCAGGATTCCCTGGGAAGAGTATATTCTGTTTAACTACTTTTGGGAATACTGACTTAAATAGTTTTTGCTTCTCTTAAGTAGTTCAATTCAAAATTGACTTTTTCTACCTTTTAGCTTTTAATGCGATAAGAATAGGATTCTTTATAAAATAGTGTCTCTTCTTGTTGTACTCCATCTGTAAGCCATAAAAGTCAAGGAATGAAGTGAGCTAGATCCAGGACTGAAATTTTAAAAATTTTAAACCTTGCTTTTGCCTCTGGAAAATTTGCTTTTAAAGAGAACAAAAATGTATTTAGCAGCTGAGTACGTTAACATCAATACAATATATTTGGAGTGTGTGAAAGAAGACTCAGTAAGATTTTAATCTCAGTAAAATTTTTAAAATTCAATAAGATTAAGAAACTCCAACTTTTATTTGGAAAAAAATTCGAACTTATAGAAAAATTGCAACAATTATACAGAGTATGGGATTTTCCCATCACTGAAGGAGCCTTGAGATACTTAACGTTCTCAGACCACTCGTTGTACTTGACTCGAGGATGTTGAAATGGGCTAGATGCTTTACTTTCTCTCTTCTTCTTTCTTCTTTTTCATTTTTTTGTAGAATGTCTAGACATGGTAATGCTATATACACAAAACTGCTGGTACAGAAGAAAAGCTTCTGTAGGATGTCAGTTCCTTGAGTGTATTGCTTGTGTCTGTGAAAGACTCTTTTCTTGCCCTTTCCTGTTTCCTCCTTACCTACCCTTCCCTTACTCCATCACTCTTATTATGAGGCGCAGGAGAAGCAGCACATGTAAATAGGATGTCAGTTCCTTGAGTGTATTGCTTGTGTCTGTGAAAGACTCTCTTCTTGCCCTTTCCTGTTTCCTCCTTCACCTACCCTTCCCTTACTCCATCACTC